ATATCCGAGGTAAAATTGCACGGCACGGGAGTCCGAGCTTTTTGAGGTTGATTTGTGATGACTTTTTCCTAGGGCTCCAACTACCTCCTGAGAAGATGGTTGGGGTGGGTGCCAGGGGTGTCTAACCACCGAACCTGAGGATATGGTGCCAGCCCTAAGGGTTTTGTGTCCATATCAACAAGTTTCGGAACCTAGTAACAAACAAAAAAAGCAACCATACGGGTGCGATACTAGGTGCGGTGTATGAGCTTCATAGGGCGTGCACGAACAACTAGAGTGGTTTCAGAGTAGATGGCACAAGCAACAAAAGGCGGTTTATATTGACCCCCATCTGAAAGACATCTTAGGGTTTGTGCATGTCTTGCCATCTTCTCTGAAACCACTGTGAGACCCCAAAAGGATCTGCCTTTGTTCCACTGCACCACCCTGATCCAGCTTGGTCAAGCCCACTGATCCAGCTTAGTCAGGCCTCGTGGCCTCCAACGTGCTCCTCTTGAGCCTTCTTCAACAGTGGCGCTGCTTCATTGAGCCTCGGTTTCTGGGAAGGTTCGGTGCAAGTTGGAATCACCAAACGATCTCTCACCAACAGGTCTCTCCTCTGCGGTGGACCCTCCGCTTTCCGTAGCTTCGGCAGCTTCACAGAGTCGACATCTTCTGGGCACCAAACGCTTCTTTCTCCGCCTCCAGCGCCCGCAGGGTCTCGGCACCTGGGACGAGTCGAGAGAATACGTTTGAGCAGCGCTTGAGCAGCCGTGCAAAGCGGCCGCGTCGGATGGAGGTATCTTTATATACGTTCCTTGTTTTTTTTGGTTTCCCTACAGTAGTGGATCCCAGTTTATAACGAACCGGAGTTTCTAGGTCTACTGTAGTTTTTGTCTTTGGAACCACTAGTTTACCTACGTCTTTACGGATTTTACCTACTATAGTGGTAACTGGATCCACTGGGTTCCTTCCAAACATCATGAACAAAACGGCCCCTGTGCACCTCGTCATGCTGAGTCACACTTGATCATACCTACCTCTACAGTCGCTGGTGGGAGGTGTTCGCTTAGAGTGATCGTTCGATGGAGAGAAAATGTGCGGCAAAAAAAGTTGGAGTTGTTCATTCACAAATTTCTCTCGTTGCAACTCTTGGAGCTTTTTTTGTGGAGGTTTTGTCTCATGATTTGTCACACAGGCTTTTTGACAAATCCAACTGTTTGTTCACGATTCTGCCACGGCATGTCATGTAAATCATGCAACTCGACTATGGAAAGGGACTTTCAACATCTTTAAACAAATTTGTAGTTGAAACTGCCCAGGCCCAGGCCACCTGTGAATCTGATAGGCCCAAAGGAGCAACCAAAAATCTGAGTCCACATCTGGTGAGGGCATTTGGTCAGCATTAAACACGTCAAAAAAAGCTGGGGAGTTGCTGGCCACACCCATGTCCAGGCGCTGTAGGATCTAAAAAAACACACTGAGCTTCCCGACTGCCCCTCAAAAGCCCCCCGAGTGTCATCGGAGGACAGAAGGTGAACTTTGACCTGTGATCCAAGAATCCGACAGCCCGACGCCCGAGAGAAGGTTCCGACCCTCGCCCCGGTTGAACATCTCAAACAAACATATATATAAATTATATGTCAAGAAATGATCACCTATACAGGATGCCATGGTTTTGGGGATCTACGGGATTTGAGTGGCATAGATCATAGATTCTATTCACTACATCAAACGTGCATGAGTTGCAGGGGGCCAGCAAATTGGATATAGGTGATATCAGCTTTTACTTATTATACCCATCACGATGTACACACCCCATGATCCACGAAGGTGAAGAACGAAAACACCCAGCAATCCAGCCCTCTCTGAAGCCTGGATGCATCAATCCAAGAGAAATGTTGGCCGAATGTGCCACCCAAAGTGGCATTTAAGTGAACCAAGCAGGAAAAAAGGGCTTTCAGCAGAGTTGACGGGTAGGGATCGCTAGAAAGGTTGAACGAAAGAGCGACACGTTCCGGATGACTGAGCTATTCGATTTCACGAATTCATCGGTTGCCACGAGCGACGCCTCCGCGCCGCCGCCCTCGGAAGCGCCAAGGCACTGTGGGAGCTTCTCTTCCTGCGGCTGCGACCAAGAGGAGGAAGCGCCACATCCCTGAGTGACCGGACGATGAGGAGAGAGGCGCCAGGGGTTCTGGTCGTTCTCAGCGAGGCCCCCCCCCCCTCTCAAAAAAAAATGACAACGCATTCGCAACCACGAGTGCGTAGGATTGTGAACTGTTCTCTATATATCACCAGTTTTTGGAAGATACCAGATTTTCAAGGGAACATTCCTGAATTTCTATTACAAAGATCCCTCACCGATGATAATTCTTCCACAACTACCAGCTGAAGCTAGGAGTCCTGAGGCTTCTGCCCACGCTGCCCCGGGCAGCGCGCTTCGTTGGCGAGGTCTGTTCCCCGCGGTTGAGCCAGGACAACTGGCTGGCGGGCAAAGGCAAAGCTGTGGCAAACACCTGTCGAACATAGCGGACCATCCATCCATCCATCCATCCATCCATCCATCCTTCTTGGTCGACCTCCTACAAGCTATGATGAGCGGTGCACGTAACCAATCCTCTCATCATCTTGGAGTCTTGGAGTGGTTCGCCTTGAGTATCCATGACTGGGTTCAACAACACAACGCAACTCACTTCTTGGAGATGTATATACACAAGACGACGGCACAGCTCTCCACTTGGAATACTTTTTGTAGATACCGTAGAACTGAACTATACATATATATATATATGTTGAACCCACAGATCCAGGGGAAGGCGTTGTTTTGTTTGATGCGAGGCTCCAATAAACCACCGGGGTAAAGTTCCTCAGCACAAAATATGCTGCTGGTATTGACCAGCTCTGGATCACCCAATTCGGATGGAAAAGAAACCTGATCAACATGTTAAGTCCCAGCACCTTCAAAGGGTCACCTGGCTGGAAGCCCCTACACTACGTACAGGTACCTCCAGACAGGACACCCCTTGAAGGTCCAGGTCCTTTTCACCCTGTTTTGCCTCACTGATGCGCCGTCAGCGTGCAAGCGGTCGGTCTCGAACAACAAGTTAAACTTGAAGCTCTTGCATCGCAACTGGCAGTATTGCGAAGTGCGGGCATTGGTAGAACACTTCAAGAGATGAATCAACATCTATTGATGATCTTGGGATTTCATAGATATCGTGCATGATCTCAAGTTGCTCTTGGCAAGCTGAGGTGATGCAGCCTTTTTCAGCAGCAATACAGTGCGATCGAGGCTTCTCAGCAAGTGAGCGCTGATCAAAACCTGGCACGAGCAGGTTTTGAAGAAGTTCTTACATGGTGGTGTTCATGTGTCCACTTGATTCCACTTAACCAACCGAACCATGTTCTTGAATTAAGCTGGTTCTTCTGTGAGTCACACATAATCCTCCCAAAGGTCCTTGCTGTTCATGTGGATTTGTGTTGGTGGTGCTGCTGCTGCCTCTGCTGCTGCTTCTGCTAGCCCCTACTGAAGTTGCTGAACCCTTCACGGGTTCCTCTAGATTCTAGACCACATTCCTTTCGCTTCCCTCGGGCTTCTATGAACCTATACACCTTGCCGGAGACTGGTCGGTGATGTTTCCTGCTTCTGGGTTCACCGCACCCCATGGTCAAAGATCCTCCCTGGGGTCCCACAGCTGTGGTTGAGACCAAAATCAAACGGCACATGTTCACACCCCCTTCTTCGACTAGCAGTTGTTTCGATCGTTGCAAAAAATCTCAACGACCCTCGTTTGCCTTTGAGGCTCCTTTATTTTCGGTGCACTTGGCGAACGGTCTTGGCCCTCATCACCACGTTTGTGGTCGAGGATGGCTGGCAAGGGGCAGACCTCCTGCCCAAATGTGTCTCAGAATGACGAGGTGTGGGGAATTGAGAAACAGCTTCAAGGCGGTTTTTTGTGTTTAAAACGTCCTTACTGTTGTTGTGCCTGGCCTCTAATTACTTTTCAGTTTCAATATTCCCAGCTTGTATACTACAAGTATATGTGCATATAACATAGGTGTTAAATAGATTCCGCTAACTTCCGGTCTTGCCCTGCTAACCTGATCATTTGCAGCTTCCAACCTTGTTGGAAGCTCGGCACTTGTCTTGGCACAAACAATGTGCCAAAACACGACTAGGGGCCTTGTCACCCTCAAAACATGCAAGCGTTGCTACGGTCCTCGCTGCTGTCGGACTGATTTGACTAGATTCCAGCAACCATCAGGAGTGAGAACTGCCTCTTTCCACTGCCCAAGTATAGTCAAACAAGACAAAAGCATTCAAGAAACTTCAACCGGAACAAGCCAAAAGCCAACACAACATCGGAAGAAAACATGTGCCACAAAGTCAGGGAAACTCACATTTGCTGCCACTGGGGCGATGCTCAATAAACCCTCCTAGAGTACCTGAAACACACTACATGGAGAATCAACAAAAATACCATCCGCGTGCGATGCTCTCTACCCCCGAAAAAGCCAAACATCTCGACATTGCAAGCAAGTGGTTCTTGTCTGCCAGAAACTCCCTTCTGAAACATTCTATAACTTCTTGTGACATTCCTGTGTAGTAGGTCAGCGGCTAGCTTAAGTTCAGCATAATGAAAGAAAATGGACTTTCCACAATCAGTGCCCTTGTATACCTGTATTTCCAACTCAACCGCAAATAAAATACAGTAAAGGCATTATTAGATCATCCGCAGCTAGCGATGAGCGCTAGAAGCGCACACATCGTGGTGGTCGCCACTTTTGCATCGCTGGCAGCCAGCAGTGGTGCTTGCGTTGTGTCGAAGAAAGAGAGGTCCACTCCAGGAGGGAATAGCCTCGGTCGAGGAGGCACGCTCTGGGGGGCTTGCTGTGGGGAGAAGCATCTGCCGGATTCTGCCGGAACTCACTGTTCGTGTTTTCGGAGTCTCGTGTCTGGTTCCATGCTAGAGGAAACAAATCCACACAGAGAGCTGCATCAACGATGCTTAGAAGGCTTAGAAGAACTTCACAGACATCCGTGACACCTTTTCGCACCTTAACAGAACGGCATGTGGATGGCGCAGGAAGGCGGTGGATTCGTTGCCAAGACACACATGGTCGATGATGTGCACCACACCATTGGTTGCTAAGATGTCCGGCGTCACCACCTGTGACATGGTCACGGTCGGAACATGGCCAACGGCCCTGTATTCTTCCGTCCTGCTTTGACATGAAATACATTAAACAATGCTGCATGGCTGCCAGGTAAACGGAACATCGCACACACAAATTGCTAGCTCAGGATATCTCAGCATTGTTCTTTGGATTTTCAACAGCGGGTGTTTCTACAGGCTTCTGCCATCTTCCGCAACTGACCACCTGTGCCCGCTCGTTGATCACCACAGGCGGGGCAGCTGACTGGTAGGCGATGCCGGTCCATCCCAGCTGCGTCCAGGGTACAGCGCTCACAACACCGCCTAACAGGCGGATCCGATGAAGCCGATGAAGCCTACACTCTGAAGATTAACATGGAACCTGAAAACCAGTGGGTTGTAGAGGAAAATGAACATCGTCTTCCAAAGGTTCATTTTAAGGTTTCATCTTAATCTTCCCGGGTGTATGTATATTATGATTATATTTTTACAAGGAAAGCGATTGAAAGGACCGTGGACCACCAGGCTGTGAAAACCAAGCGCATCCAGCAAATGTCACGTGAGCTCACATGTGTTGGGATGTTTTGGGCATATCTTTTTGGGGTGGCTCCAGCTCGTGCAGGATGTCATGTCCATAGATAATAGACTACATAATAGCCGATTGGGCATACATAGTCCGGCTCATAGACTCCCTGCAAGAATCATGGCTACGTGGATGGGCCCCGATTTCGGATGACCCAGAAATCCAATAAACCATGATGATTTCAAGGAGCGTACCTGCCCAGTAAGCGACACAAAAAACAGTAGGGACAACAGTAACATGCATGGGGTGGGAAAAACAGTGGCCACTGGCCCGCGCAAAGGACTCCTGGGCTCCACATGGGGCCACCTGGAATCCTGGCCAACCTCGGCCCACCCCGGTCGCTCCCGTCTTCAACGCCGACCGTCGACGTCTTCAGCTGGCCCGTTTCAACGGGGAAACGGGGCGAAAAAGGACCGGTGGGATTTGGGTCGAAGGTCGAAGGATCGCCTTGCAAGGTGTTCAGGTCCTGAGGACTGGTGAGTTGGATGCTGAGGAATTTCCCCACCACCACGTGGTATCGCAGGAACTCCTCCGAAAACGATCCGATTCTCGGGATCCGTTCGTTCTCGATCGGTCCCGGTTCTGGGAGTGCCATGCAGTTCACCCTCACCACCTCTTGGGCTTCGCAAGCTTCTTCCATCCGTCCTTTAAATATCTTTAAATCAATTCACCCCCAAACAAAGACCAAATATATATCTTGCTTGATGTTCCTGAGGGCGTATGGCAGGCAGTGGTGTTACAGGAGCCATCCTGAAACAAGAGTGAAAGTGGAAGACTGCGGGCTCTTGTTACTAGTAGTGATGCCCTTGTTACTAGTCGATGCTTGCTACTAGTGACTAGTGTATGGCCAGGAGCGTATCGTCCTTGCTCCTAGTAGCGATGCCAAACACCGTTTGCCAGAAAAAGCATCCATCCGCTTCCACAAGGTTCTCTCCAAGTCTTCGAGGTTCTCATCAGCCCAGGTCGCCAAACAAGGTTTATTGAGTCCATGGAAAACATCTTTCCGAGATTTGTTGACACCCTGTTGACAAGTATTCTGATGTCTTCGAGGGGGTACCATTCCACTAGCTAAAAAATACGCAGCTTCTTTCACCTTGCGGCTGCATTTCTGACATTCCAATGGACGCGTATTGATGGTAAATAGATGTAAATAAGTTAATGGTCTCGTATTACGAATGTTGCAAGAGCACCAAAAAAACGTTTTCAACAAAGTTCCTTGGCTTTTCGCATTTGTGAGAGCTCTTTCTTGAAGACCTGGTATACGGGTGTATGATCAACTATCATCTTCCAAACTTCTTGCACGCGGTTGTGTGAGGGCATGAAGTCGTGTTCTTCCTTGAGCTTCTCGGAGTTCTCTGGCAAGAAGAGATTGTTGACCGAATCTCCTGCTTGCACTGGCACAAAATGAGTCCCCAAACTGACTGGGAGAGAAGTATTTTTGGGACCTAGTTATACATAGACATAGACCTATATGTCATGTTAATACATCCTACGTCCGGGCGCTGGCACACAGTCACACAAAAGCTTACAGAAAAGCCTCACTGCAACCCCTTCAAAATTACTAAGATAATAGTAAAAGTTCCACTACTATATATATATATATATAAATTGCCTTGGTCAGGTCCACTGAGACTTGACCTTTAAAGCGTTGGATGTTCTTTTCAGAATCAGCTGCTCCAGAGCTAGGATTGATCCTACCAGTCAACTCTGAAGGTCTCGACCCTCTCTCATCTGTTCCGTGGGCGCCTAGGAGTGCAAAGGCGTAGTCGTTCGGGATCATCGCGGTGAAGGGCCCGTCGCCCTCGGCGCCGTCGCCGGGTCACCAGGGGGAGAACTGGTTTGGGTGGAAAACAGCTCAGGTGCAAAGACGAGAAAGGGTAGGTGGACATGGAGCTCAGAAGCAATCAAATCTCAAAAGTCGCAGGGTATCGCAGGGTGTTCATGATGTTCATGGAGATGACCACCTATCCTTAAGTAAAGAGTCCCAGCTGGGGCGAGGGTTCAGGCCCCCTGTCTCGTCCACATCACCCGTTCCAACGACCAATCACCCCACAGAAGCCGAGGCCTGGAACTCTGTGAGCAAGCCGCTGAAGGAGACCAAGCGAACGAATTCGCTCAAGTCCCTCTCCTGAGGAAGGGATGAGGTGCAGAAACCCGCGCAAAAGAACACCAAACGGCGTGCACGGTCTAGCACGCACGCACCCCTCATACCGGAAGGACCTCATCTTGGGAGGGCGGCGTGCACCGTGCACGGCCCGGCCCAGAGGAGCACAAGGCGTGGACCTGTCACCCCCTGGTCACCTCAGGTCGCATGAAGCATCACGTGCACTGTGGCGTGACGAACATGGATCACATGGTTATATACGTGGAGTTCACCCCCTGCTTTTGCAAAGGAATAAGTAACTTAGTACGTCGTCTTCCCATGGCGGCCATGCTCCACTTTCATGTTAAAACGAGTGGGTGGGTATAGCTAATACGTGCTTCCCTGGACGCTGGGGAACCTGTCCAGGCCGGTCACTGGTGCCATCTGCACAAATCTGTGTCATCATAAGTTACTACATACGAGGACCGTCCAACACCCCACGAACCGACCGGTCCGGCTATTATATGTCCTTCTAAGACATGTGACATCTGCACCCCTCCCAAAAAAACACAGACATAGCAAGACGATGCAAGACTGCAGTGACTACAGCTCGGGCAAACTTCAGCTCCTTGTTCGCAAATTGCATGAAGTTCCTCTCCGGAAAGCGCCATCGTTTGGGCTTCACCACATGGTCCAGCACGTGCAAGATACCATTCGTGCACGGCACATCCTGGAGCATCTATATGCGGAATTGGGAGGGACGCAAGCCCACTAGTAGCTCTAATGCAACCAATTTGAACAACGTGCAAATTGATAGATTTGGTCTGGTGTGCAAGCATGGCTACACGGACAAACATGTTTCCCATCCTCAGCTCGTCATCACAAAATCCAATATCTTCACTAAGGCTAAGGATCTTAAGGACACCCCCAAAAGGAGATGTGACACCATCCCGTTTCGACACCTCCGGGGGGCAGTTGGTGAATCAAGAGTGAATTGAGTCGCCTAAGTCAGCCTCCCAAGAAAATGATTCCAAACAATGCCCCAGTCGCTCCTGGACGCCTCTTAATTACTACTTAGCTAAGAATCTTCACCACCCTAATCCACCTTCTCTTTCTTTCACCAACTCCTCGCCTCAAAGACCCTCCGGTGACCTGACAAACCACCCAGCCACCGAATCGCTCGACTCGCTCGACTCCGGTGACCTCGCTCCTGGACACTGGCCACCGCCTCGTTGAAGGTCAACGGATGTAGAGACCCCACGTTGACGGCTCCACCTGTCGCCCCTGTGGTGAAGTAACTAGTTCGACTCGGTTCTCCATGGAAGAAAATCGACGACCTATTATAGTGAATAAATGTGAATACCAACCTGCAGAAGGTTTGGGAAGATTGATCGAGTTTTGCTTCACCCTCCCTTTCTGATCCTGGAGTTCCCCCTACCGAAAAGGGTTGAATCAGTTGTCATTGTATTGTTTCCTCGTAAATCCGGCGGCTTTGAAGGTCTCAGAGTCCACAATATACTTAGTCTAAGTGTTTTGGCCTATGCCCCTCTGACAGAAACTGGTCCCAAACAGAGTTGGGCCGCAAGAAATCCTTCCCTCTTTAGACTAGTGTAGTGAGTGGACCAGTGAGTGGTTGGTGGTTGGCCACAATTTTGGGCCAGTGAGTGGTTTGGTCTCACTGGTTGGTTCCACGTTCTCACTGCTTTTTGCAAAAAATATCAACTCGTCTACTTCGATGATGCCGGTCAGTGGGGTGCTTGGAAAAGAAGACATGGCCCTCTTATTCAACAAACTAGAAACAAATCGAAACAGAAAAAAACAACAAACTGCTACAACCCCCCTAGCCAAGAAACATCAGGAAAACACATCTTCTTCCACACCCTTTTCCCTATCCTACACGTGTTTCTGGCAGTTGAGACCCTTCAGCACAGGGCCTCATCTACTTGGAGCTCAGAAAGCTCCACAGGGTCCGAACCCTTCAGCCACCGTCGTCGCCGGGCGCCGGGCGCCTTGCTGTGACACGATGTTGGTTCGGGCCACCAGGTTCTGGCGGCGCGGAGTCGGAGAAGCGGAGGCAGAAACAAACGCGGTGGTGCCGGTGAATCGAAGGAAGCCCAGCGTCATCTGAAGCATCCAAGCGAATTACTAAGCAAATCTAAGGAGATTCGTTGCACTTTTGGAAGGAAGAACATCTGCACTGGCCATGAGAAAGGTGGGGAGAATGACAATCCTCCAACTCGGTTTTGTTCATGTTGGCCCAATGCTCATGTATATATATAAACACGACCTCAGCTTTATTTTCCCACGCGTTGCAGAAAGTTTGTC